TCTAAGGCATGCAGTCTGCTGCAGTGAAGACTGTGGGAGGACACTGTCCTAAGGCATGCAGTGCACTGCAGTGAAGACTGTCCTACATAACTTTCTAATTGGATGCAATTACTGAAGCTTATCTTTCATTATTCAGAAACTTAGATTGAAAGAACAAATGGAGTTAATGATTGGGGAAAGAGGAATTTCAGATTCTTTCTTCTACCATACAAACTACATAAAATTGTTCTTCATTACAACGTTCTCCCTTCTTCCAAAAGCATTTCTCCCCATTGGCAGCTAAGTACCCACTAGCTGACCTGTTCCTGGGAGGGCATCTTCTGGTGCAGTGGACTTCTCCTTGGCCTGCTCTCCCCATCACCACTTATTTGCTTGTTTGTGACCCTGTGCTATTGAAGAATAAATCTGAGATGCTTCATTATGCTGAACAGTTGAGTGGTGTCTCTCACACAGGTCCAGAGTCAAGTCAAACTGCAAAGGAACCTGTACTTTGGATTTTAGAATTTGACTGATTTGAAATCCCAGCCCCATTGTTGTATAAAACTACAGCACATACTTCAGAGCCTCCATTATTCATCTGTGAAATAGGAATAATAAAACTACTTCACAGGTAAAGATGGCATATTCAGCCTTCTGCAGCTTGCCTCACTTGTCTTAAAGGGAGTGCAATCATATATATAGGACTCTCTTTCGAAGATTCTGGGCCCCCAACATTTAGTGGTGGGTTAGTGGCCCCATTTCAACAGAGAAAGCTCCAAAACTCAAGTCTTTGCGCAGGGTTTACTTCATCTCTGAGTCATGACACCTGTTGCCACATCATTCAGCCCATTATGCAGAGCCCACATTCTCCGTGGGTTTTTTCATGTGTTGACTTTGACATTCAAGAAAAGCTGGTATCCATGCAGGAATCTGGAGAGGCAGGCAGATCCCATCACAACTGAATGCCAGGAGATTCCCCGACAGAACATCTCACAGCAGATAACTTCACTGTTAAAAGCAGAATCCCAGGCTTCCAAGGACCTGGGTCATCCTTATGGCAAACCTCTACTGTGACCTGGGAGCTGGTGGTTACACCTGTCTTCCCTGGACAAGAAAATGTTCCTTGTAACACTGGCTGGATGCAGAGAGATGGGATCAGCCCCATTTGTGAGCTCCCACTATGTTCTAGGCACTATAGGAAGACCTTACACACTGTGACACCCTCCCCACCTGCAAGAAAAGCCTCGCTCTGACATCTCCTATAGAGCTGAAAAACCAAGGAAAAATAACTGACCCTGGTCATAGAGCTGGTGAAGGGGCTGAGCAGGAATTCAAACAGTCTTAACTTTGAAGTCCACTACAAGAGGCTTCCTATTAAAAGCAGGGTAAATAACAAGAGTATGAGTAGTTTATCAGAGAGAGAAAGAGAGGAGAAGGGAAGGGCCATCCTGCTGTGATGGGAGATGCCATTATGTATATATGTTTCTCATACTGGTTAATAATAAAGCACTGTTGGCCAATAGGAAAGGAAGATAGGAGGGACTAGGAGACAAGGAGGAAATAGGAAGTAGGAGGGAGGAGTCAAGATGGAGAGTCGGAAGAAAACAGTATGCCGCCGGCTCCCCGGTAAGAGAAATACATAGATCAGCAGAAATGGGTTAATAATTAAAGGCAGGGCTAGCCGATAAGAAACAAGTAACCGGGCCATCAGTATTGTATCAAATACAGAGTCTCTGTGTGTTATTTGGGGCTGGTGGCATGGCGGCGGGACATGACCAGCGGTGGCGGGCGGAAAAAACCATACTTGTTACAGATGGCGCCCAACGTGGCTAGTAAGAACTTACTTACACTTAAAATTTAATAGAAGCTTAAAAAAAAGGATTTTAGAAACAAAAGAACAGAGACAAGCAAGGTTTCTTGGTATCAGCATTTTTCTCTGTTGGACTCTGCTTTGCAAGAGATAAGCAGATATTTGTGCGGCTCCTTTAAGGGAAGGTTCCTGACTCAGCATAGGAGCAAAAAACCGCATGGCTTTTACAAAGCACAGCTAACAATTTATTGGTGTGTATGAGAGATGGCAATGGCAGTGACCACATCTCCAAGCCGGCAGCATGCAGATCAAGGCAGTGAGCGCAGCTCTCAGTGCTGGTAAAAGTACCCGCCACCATCTTTGGTAAACCGCGGCTGACACAGCTATGACTTTCATTTTAGCAATGTTGTTCTTTACCAGATAAAAGACTTGTGGCCAGACGAAGATAAAGATTTACAGTAAAGACAGATTCATATTAAAAACCTCTAAAGGTTTACAGTGTGTTTTAAAATATACGTAGACATGAAAAAAATGTTTTTAAAGAGACAAAGAGGAACTGGGTGTTGTAGCACACGCCTTTAATCCCAGTGCTCAGGAGACAGAGGCAAGCAGATCTCTTGTGATTTCAAAGTAAACCTGGTATGCAGAGTGAATTCCAGGACAGATAAGAGTTACACAGTGAAACCCTATGTCAAAAAATGAAAAAATAAAAGTAAAATAAACAGAGTAATAATAAAGGCACGTAAAGATGAAAAGCTCAGAGAGAATCTGGTTAATGTATGCTATTGTGTTGTCTCTACATTGTTTGACTGCTGAGAAAATAACAACTGATAAAGGAAATGCTGCTGGATTAATTCAATTTATATATTTTAAAAATGCTTTGACTCAAACATTTAAGTTCAAGGACAAGTTACTGGGGAAAAGGATTTCTATTTTTGTTTCCACAGAAATTGAAAAGCTGTGGATTCCTTCCAGACTAATGTGGTTTGAGCAAGCCAGACCCCCTGAAACAGAGTTCCTGATGATCCAACATTCAAAACAACTTGAATAAGGCAGACTTACAGATTACAGCCAGGATTTCTGCAACTTCTTAGGATCCCCATAACAGCGCCCCCTATCAGCAGGAAGTAGTTTGGAAAGAACGGCGCCCAAATTCCCAAATATTTATAAATGTTTGTTTTCATTTAAATGGACTTGGGTATAAATGGTTAATGATCACAGCCAGTTCTTTTTAAAGGTAAAAAGGGAATTATGATATAGATATGCATAGTTTGCTTTGGAATGGATTTTCATTTATTGATACAATTTAAGGTCAATTTTGTCATATGTATATTTCTCCTCTTGTTTGTATAGCTTATTTAGAAATGTAATGTATAATGTAGTACAGATTATAGATAAGTACCTATGATAGTCAGATATTATAGTTAAGTTAGTTAAGTTTTCTAGATATACAGAGATGTATTTGAGATGAATAGGCATTCTTCAAACCTTTCAAAGACCTACAGAATATGGCATTTAAAATAATTTAGGGTTTTACTTGACAATGAGACATAAATGCTCCTGGTAACACCACCTGCGTCAAAAAGGAAGATGGACATTGAAGAAACTCATTATGGAGTTTACTTCCAATACGGCAAGACTAGCCATTTGGACAAGATACTGCTCTTGTGTGGAATGTTTGACTTTGTGCTGTATAAACTGGACATGCAGGACTCACAGAAAAGTGACTGCTGATTCAAGATGGACATTGCTACAGAGTTCCTGCTTCATGGAAGAGTCTGCGAGACAGTATGCAGGAAACAGAGAAAAGTGACTGATAAACTGCCAATACAAGAAGACAGTTTCCTGCGTTGCTGAAGAGTCTGCTAGACACACTATGGCCTATGGGCTGAAGATGGAAGATTACAAAAGAACTTCGGGTGACCAGGCAGTGAGTTGTCTCTGTCATTTCTAGAGTTTATATACTATCCTTCTGTGGTCTTTGAAGGAGTTGAAGACAGATAGTTATGGTTATAGTTTTCCTTAGTTAGGTTTACAGATAAGTTACAAATAGGACTTTGGACTCACAAATATAGGATAGATGATAGAATAGTTTCTTTTAATCTTGATAAATGTTAATGGATTAAATATTGTTAACTGTGATTCTTATTTGATAACTGTTGTGTTATATATTTTGCTATGTTAAGGTTAAAACCCTTCTTTTTATTTAAACAGAAAAGAGGAGATGATGGGAGATGCCATTATGTATATATGTTTCTCATACTGGTTAATAATAAAGCACTGTTGGCCAATAGGAAAGGAAGATAGGAGGGACTAGGAGACAAGGAGGAAATAGGAAGTAGGAGGGAGGAGTCAAGATGGAGAGTCGGAAGAAAACAGTATGCCGCCGGCTCCCCGGTAAGAGAAATACATAGATCAGCAGAAATGGGTTAATAATTAAAGGCAGGGCTAGCCGATAAGAAACAAGTAACCGGGCCATCAGTATTGTATCAAATACAGAGTCTCTGTGTGTTATTTGGGGCTGGTGGCATGGCGGCGGGACATGACCAGCGGTGGCGGGCGGAAAAAACCATACTTGTTACACTGCTGCCTGCTGCCTCATCTCCCCTCCCCCCCCCCACCCCGGAAGTTGTGGTCATCAGACTGGGAAACTTGAGGGACTCTTCCAGCCACCTGCCCTTTCTCCATCACAGAAACATAGCCCTTCAAAGAGATGGAGCGGAGTGAGAGGTGCTGTGCCATCTGAGAATTGTTCACCTTGGAGGCAATGCTGTGGGAAACACTTTCAATCCAAATTTGCAAATGGGTAGCTTTGTGGGGTGCATCTAATGCAGAGAGGTGTTTTGTCTTAATGGCAGGAATTTTCAAAACTTCAGACTAGTTGTTAACCTTTTTAAAAGACAATAGGTTTACACAAAACTCCAGGTTTCTGAAATTACCCTGAAAAACCCAAAGTTCTGATACCCCCGAATCTCCATCCCTCTCTGGCCCCTGGAGGCTGGAGTAGGGCAGCCATCCACTTGGAGCTGGAAGTGGGACAGTGTTTTTTAATCTGCTACAGTCCTTTTCCCCTTGGCTCCTGTGTGCTAGTAGGGAGTACCAGTTCCCCTCCCCACCACAGCATCCCCAGCCCCCACATTTCTCCTCTTGGAGGTAAGGGTGGGAAGATCCTTCCTATTGGCTTCATACCTTTTTCTTTTTGTTCCTCTAGGTGTTCCCTTCCCAAAGAACTTCCTTCAGATCTGCAAGAAGATCCTGTGCCGTCTTTTCCGGGTCTTCGTCCACGTCTACATTCACCACTTTGACCGGGTCATTGTGATGGGTGCAGAGGCTCATGTCAACACCTGCTACAAACACTTCTATTACTTCGTCACAGAGATGAACCTCATAGACCGCAAGGAGCTGGAACCCTTGGTAAGTGTCTCGGCGTTATGACGTCATACACTGTGAGAACCAGGGAAAGTGGGTGATAGGGTGGAGCTGCAGAATTACACAGGGCACAGTGATCAGCAATAGACTGGGTACATCAAAATGTCTACTGCAACCAGGTAAGTGTCTGAAGTTGCTCTCCAGGAGGTGGGACAATGTGGTGACATTGTTCCTACATAATGACTTGGGCCAGGAAGCTAGGTTTAATGCTCAACTCTGAAAAAAGTCATTTACTGAATTTCTTAGAGACACCCACCCGCTAACCCCCAGGTTTTATTTTGGTTCTTTGAGGGCTTCTCTGTAATAGCCCTGGCTGTCCCAGAACTTGATCTGTAGACCAGGCTGGCCTCGAACTCAGGGAGATTTGCCTGCCTCTGTCTCCCAAGTGCTGGGATTAAAGGTGTGCACCACCACTGTCCAGTTGAGGCATTTCTTTGATCTATCACTATTAGTCAGGGATGATCAGAAACAATTATTTCCTTAGTCAGTAAATGACCATTTAATACCCACTGTATGTCAGCTGCTGGTGCACAAAGTCAAATTAAACTTCTTATGTCACAGAAAGAAACGAGCCTTAAGAAAGAGCTCTGTGTCTTGGAAAATTTGTTCTTTATACTGAATCACCTGGGTAAAGTCATCGTAGGTATATCATTTGAAATTAAGAACATTTGAGATCAAGCTCTAGCTTGTTATATAGATGAGTGGAGTCTGACTTCATTTTATTGTTTTTGAAAGAGATTTATTTTTATTTGTGTAGCCGTGTTTTGCCTGCATGTATGTTTGTATACCATGTGTGCATGCGGTGCCTATGGAGGCCAGAAGAGGGTCTCAGATCTCCTGGAACTAGAGTTACAGGTGGTTGTGAGCTGCCATGTGGGTGCTGGGAATCGAACCTGAGTCCTCTGAAAGAGCAACAGGTGCTCTTAACCACTGGGCTCTCCCTCCATACCCTGCTTTTATTTTCTTCCCTTTCACTGTTGGCTTTAGTATGTGTTTGAGGAACCAAGGACTCTCAAAGCCTTTGTAACAGGTTCACTCAAATGAAGATGCTTGTCTCACAGCCATCCCCAGTGCTGCTAGTGAGTACCTTTTTACCCAGTAGGAGGCATTGCTTTATAATAAAGCCATGGTTTCTTTTTCCTTGAGAAAATTAAAGTGTGGTTTTGCTAAATATAGTTGGCAAAGTAAGTTTTATCCAAGTCTTTTTGAATATTGACTAAATACAGGGCCCAGTTGTCTGTTCTACTATTTACCCTTCTTTCTTTGTCTGCACAATTGAAATGATGTTTTATTGTTAGTTGATACCTGAGGTCTACAGCTCACATGACTACCACTGAAAAGATACTGTGTTATATTCACGTATCCCTACAATAAGAGCTGAGCCCAGCTCTGTGAAGAAGCAGCAAATCAGGTAGGAACCAGAGGGGACAGAGGAATGGTCGTAGAGTATACCAGCATGCTTGCGGCACACAGGCTGTTCCAGTCGTCTGTTGCTTTGCCCTGCCATCTTTGGTCTGATAACCTCATGTGGGAGGTGTTTGGCTGTGGGCTCTAGATTGGCTTTGTATGAACAAGTCATGAGTAAATAGTTTGCCACCTCAGATGTTAACTAACTATGGGAGAGAGGGTTCCCACTCAGGGTCAGCAAGGTCCCAGGGATTATAGAAGCAAAATGCAAAAGAAAGAAAGAAAGAAAGATTAAAAAATAAAAGACATATTAACTATGCATGTACTGTATATCTGTTAAAGAAGATGTTGGTGAATCTCATGCTGCCTTTAGGAGTTTAATTCATGGTCTACAATTACACCAAGGAATACACACCAAACACATTGCTTTACCTATAGTTTCGATGTCTCTCCCGTCATTGGTTAAAGAATAGGTGGTATCTTCACTTTCTTTCCACTAGGATCTTAGAAAGCATTTGGGGACAGCCCCCAAGTTATCTCTGAGCATCACTGTTGGATTCACATAGCAAAAGACGTAAAGGCGCTGGTGGTGTGTTTGCTAGTCTGTTCTGTATGAAGACCACTTGAGAGTGTAAATAACCACCATGAGAGTAAAGGTTGTACAAACAACTCAGGGGAGTGTAAAGACTGGAAACTGTTGATAAAGCTAATCTCAGGAAATGTCAAGGGCAGTGGAAAGAGAGGGGCCTTTAATCGAAGAGACACAAAAGTGCTGCTGCTGGGCCATGGAGTCAGGTCGTCGTCATCCGTCATCGCCGCACCCAGGTGGATGGGAACAAGTCCCCAGGGGCTGCCAGAAGCAAGAGCTCTGCTAGATGCTCAGACTTTCAGTGTTGCTACGTTAACAAATAAACATTAGAAGGATAGGGCTGAGTATCAAGTTCTCCTTTATACACAGCCGCATAATGGCTATTGTCGGGGAGAGGGGCTAAGTCAGCCGGGAGAGAGAGCCATTCTTTGCTAGCTTAAACCTCTCTGTTGTGTTCTATTACTGAAGGCCCCAGGAGCTGGTGCACCTGGTAGTGCCAGGAGCTGCCTTGCAGTCCCAGCCCTGCTGCCAGGCCTGGAACAAGCCAATATTCTACTAAGGACTTCTGTAGGGGGCCTGGGAGAAAAAAAAAACCATTATTATTCTTACTAGGAATTGTTATCGGTGGAAGGGATCAAAGAAGTACTGGGTGCCCCCCCCCACTCCAAGTTTGTATTTCTTGAACTCATACTTAGCGTTGTTTTCTTCCCACGTTTATGTTGTGTTGATCATGGTGACAGGAAAATTAATTGTAATAAGTAGTGGTAAGTAGTCTTAAAATAATTGCATGAAATTATGTGTTGGCTTGGTTTTACACACTCAAACCTGGATGCTGTGACTGTTTCTGGGTTTAATGATCATGTGATGGCCAGGCATGATGATGCATGCCTGTAATCACAACACTCTAAAAGCATACTCAGGAGGACAGCTACAATTTTGAGGCTATCCTGGTCTGCATGGACAGTTCCAGGCTAGTCATGGCTTCTTAGAAAGAACTGTTCCCAAAATAGCAACACCAGGGGCTGTTCAGAGCATGGGCTGCTTTTTCAGAGGACCCCGGTTTGATCCCAGGATCTTCACAGCAGCTCACAGCTGTCTGTAACACCAGTTCCAGGAAACTCGACAACCTGTTCTGGTTTTTGTGGACACTAAGTATGCACACGGTGCACAGACATATAGGCAGGGGAAATGCCCCATACACATAGAATAAAGTAATTTTTAAAACCCACAACAATTGATGGTGCCAGGCCCAAGTGCTTAGTATGTCCAGTATCACTAAGAGTGTTGTACCTGTGAATTGGCACTAATGACATTTTGTTCATTGATATCTCAGTATTAGACTCTATGTCTAGTGTTGCAAAGTTGTAAAGTACATATTGCAGTCCCAGACCTAGCATCAAATCAATACACTTAAATTTGTATTTTCTTATATTAATTTATTGTGTGTGGGGGGAGTATGCTTGTGTTTAGATGTGTGTTTGTGTACATGCAGCTACACACAAGTGCAGACATGTGAGGCAGATAACAACTGTGGGAGTCAGTTCTTTCTTTTCATTGCTGGGCCCCAGGATCTGGACATCTAGCCTGGTGGCAGAGGCCTTTACCCACTGAGCCAAAATCCATGTAGTTTTTATTTTGTGTAGTCTAACTACTCCATATGCTCAAAACAGTTTGTTCAGATATTATGTTTTATGTAAGAGAGCTAACTAAGTTTGGGGAAAACTTACAACACAGCCCAGAAAATATGCAATAATGAGTACCTTCTTCATCCCCGGAGGATGAACAGTCAGGGCTTTGCCTTTAAATTCTGGTCATACCTTCTTCGTAGGGTAATGCAGCCAGAGGTCAAAGGGTAGCATTTGTTCAGCCAGTCCCCTTTAAAACATCAGCATTCCCACAAGTTCACCAGCACCAGCGGGCCATTCCTGGAGTCATGCGTGGAATTCCACAGTGTAGAACTTAAACTCACCTGGGTCTTCCCCTCCCATCTACCATGTACAGCCAGTCTTCCATGTCAAAGGGTCACATGATTGCACTGGAGCAACACCAGCTGAGCATCTGGCACATAGGTTATCTGCAGGATCCAGGACCCCACAAGGGTAGGAAACTCAGTATCACACACACAGCCAGCATAAGACTATAAGACTCAAACCCGGGGCTCCAACCCCAAACTTACTAACTTGTAACCTTTAACAAGATATTGAAACCACCATTTTCCTCATTCACAGAGTAACCAAAATGGAATTATTAAAGTGACAGATGAAACACGCAGTAAGTGCTTAAGAAATGTTAGATATTAAGTTAGATAATGAATTTGCAGAGGTTAGAACTCAGTAAGTAGAGCAATTCCACTTCTCCCTTCCCTGGCTCTCATGGTCTTTTATCCATCCTAGTGATGCCTTAGAGCAAACAGTTAATTGTATTTGTATCTGTCTCTCCCTTGGGGTCGCCAGTTCTGTGCAGGCAACTAGTAAATAAGATGTGTTCCTGAATTGTCCATGGTCCTTGATACATAATAAATACTTGAATTTTTTTTTTTTTTTTTTTACATTTGGGAAGAGTAGTTTAAGGATGTGTTCAAAAAGATTATGCATAGCTGTTCCTCCTTGGTACCACCCTTGTTTCTTAATTACAATTTAGCTATTCATTTATAAGGACTACAGTTTCATCCTGACTGATTAATAATAAAGATTAAAAGCAAATTAAGATGCAGAGCAGTGGAGGGACCTGTTTAAATTGTAGGTCTGACAGCATAAGGTAAGACTACAACACCTAGACATTCACCCAGGAAATGTTGAGTGTTCTCGTACTGCCTCACATGCCATTACCTAGCACCGCAGACCCAAGCTAACCAACCAGCACCCTCCATCTTAGTGCTGAAATCCCATGTTCTCGGAAAACCTTGGTCTCCAGCAAACTGGGACTATTGTTCATCCTGTCAGCCCTCTGAGTAGGAAATCAATTGGGAATTCAAAAACTGGAAAGAGGT